TTATACTCCGTTACCATGGCAACCTCACACTATGTATTGCGAAACATACAGGAGGGTTTTTATTTCATCAGATAGTTTCTGGGACGCTTCCTGTAACTCACCAACTATCAGATGACTGACATGAAATGAACCTCCAGAATTAGGTTAAATTAATATTAATGATTCTCAAATATTAAACAGTCGTGGTTCTCCGTCCCACTCAATAACACAATCTTAGTGTTGGTTTCAATTCAAACCTCAGCTTAGCAAAACAACTACATGTTGCTTTATCAGAATATGTGTTTCCTTTGATCCATTGAGACCTTTTATTAGCAGAGAAATGTGCTGAAAGCAGATTGTTGTTCCACATTGTCCTTCTAGCATTCAGTAGAAGCTTTAATGCTCACATGTTGATTGGCGCAGCACGTTCCCTCTTTTGGTGATAGTGCAGGTTTAAATGTGAACTTTAAAGTCAAACATGAGGAGGATGCTGAAGAAAAGCTGGTGTGAGAGCCCATATCTCAAAATCTGCTACGATAAGTTGTGAAATTAAGTTCTGCGAAGCTCCTCATCTGAGCTCTGATCTTGCTGATGAGGAGATAAAAGAGGAAGAGGAAACATTTCATAAGCAGAGGAACAGACGACGAGTCGGACAGACGAGAGGAGACAGACAGTGGACGTGGACATGGATCAGCTGTTGGTGCTGTTGCTGTTGCTGTGGAGCTCAGGTAGGACTCGGCTTTAAAGATGATGTGTTAAATATCTGTGTTGGATGTTGGAGGAACATACGATCTATTTTCATTGATTTGAAATCAATCCAGGGTGTATCAATCAAACTGCTGTTGGTTGATTCATTTTAAGAATGGCTTTTATCTGTTGTTGTAAACTCTTCACACATACACACACATACATCATATTAAAGCATCAAAGGAAGAAAAACAGGAAAACGCTGTAAAATCATTCACATTGAGGTTTGAATCCTTCAGATTTTTATCAGATCAAACTCAGTTTTTGATTCTATTTGTACTCAATTATTAGTTTTTATGTAACATCTGATCAATGTATTTATATTCAGTAATTATGTCTCTGTGCAGTATTCTCCACTGTTAGCAGCGGAGTCCGCCTTTGACTCAGACTCATGACAGACTGACAGGAATCGATGCATCATGTAATCAGATTCACTGTTTCCTGTTCACTCTCCGGCAGCTGTATCAGATCATTTCCTGCTGCTGCTCCTTCACAATAAAACACTTCAACTGGACAAACACAGGGAGGCTTTTATTGTGAAGCAGTCACAGGAAACACACTGTATTTGTCAGAGTCACTTTTCCTCCAATCAAAGCTTTCTGACTCCACAGGGGTCGAAGGTCAACGTCACTAAATCATCAGAACTAATAAATAACAGGCAACTATCCAGTGAACTCTTCCAGCCTCAAACACCATGAAGGACAGACAAACTGCTCACATGTGGTTTAGATCACCATGGCAACACACTGCTCAGAAACATCAGATATTGATCTGCTGATTGGTGGCCAGATAGAGCGATCGGTTCGTGTTTGCACTTAAAAGTGGGCGGGACAGTTTATCAATGTTTTACAGTAATACACTTCAGAGGAGATAACTGCAGGCCGCACACTGTCACCATCATCTTTAATGGACTGAAACTTTATTTAACAGAGGGAACACAGCCATCAGTTTAAAACCGGTTTAATACCAGTTTGAGACCAGTTTAAAACCAGTTAAAAAAGTATTTAAAAGCAATTTAAAGCCAGTTTAAAACCAGTTAAGGACCAGGTTAAAACCAGTTTAAAACCAGCGTGGGATGATGGGAGTTGTGTCTTCATTGTTAAACAGCTACTGCTGATGAAACTCAGTCTGAAGTGACTCAGGCACAAATTGTTGAGGGACGAGGTAATGTATTAAACTTGTGTTACATTTAGTCAGATAAGATCAAATTCATACTAATAAATAATTTAAAGTCAGTTAATAAATGTGACTGAGTGAGATATTACAGAACGCTGTGTAGACAAAATAATAAATTCATGTCCAACAATAATAACAGTGAAATCTGTAAAGAACCTAAAGAAGCAATGTTTGAAGGTTTCAGGTCTATGTTTATATTTCATGTCTGTACAGATGTTTTAAACACCTGGGGCCCTAAAGAGAGGAAGTTATCAGTGTGCAGATCCTTCTGATCAAATGAATGAATGAATGAATAAATGAATGAATTAGCCAAAGGTAACAGGAACTTTCCAGGTGAACAATAGGATCTTGTCTGCTGCTGTTAATGTGATTTAAATAAATGTTTGCAGTGTTGTGTGATAGGAAGTGCAGAGAGGTCAGCCAGGAGTGAGATGGTTGGACAGACGGGAGCTGAGGCCGAGGAATCATCCGTCTGCTGACTTGTGTTCTGTGTATTCACATGTTCACATCAGTGACATCATTTATGACAGTAATGTACCGATGTTGACACACACACACACACACACACACACACACACACACACACACACACACACACACACATACCTGTAGAGATGCCAGTTTACCTCCTGGGCTCTGCCGAGGTCTCTTGAGCAAGGCACTGAAGCCCTAACTGCTTGGAGCAGCGACTGTGTGGCAGCCTCATCACTCTGACGTCTGTCCACTAATGCATGTGTCCAGGTCCTGTGTGTGCATCAGTGGCTGCTGACTCAAACATTGTGGAGGACAGGAGGAAAACCAACCCACAGCTTCATGTTATTTTACACTAGTTGGCTAATGATCTTTACTTTCTTCTGTTCAATATCAATGAAACAGTAAATCAATGGCTTCCAAGAGTTCTTAAAAACAACATCATTGTATTCACTGCTGTTGTTTCCAGATGAACCCTACAGGCCTAATGCAGAAGATAGAGTATTTATCAAGGCTGTGAGATGTAACAAGAAGCAACACCTGTGAAGGAAAGTGTGCTGACTGATGATGACTAATTGCTGCTTGAATCAAAGCTGGCCCCATTTCCAATCAGACGAACAAAGCTTACTGTACTTTAATTCCAATATTTTATTCCCAACGATGCGTTATCACAAGTCCAGGTTCACCAGGGCATTTTAAAGTAGTGTGTGCTTTCTATTCAGAGACAGCTGACAGTTATCCTCAACAAAGTAGTTTAAACACAGCAGCTCTATTTCTCTGCTACAATGGAAATATGACAGTAATGATCCCAGCACCATTGGTAAATACCCACACTGAAACAGAAGCTGCACTTTCCTTCAGACACTAGATGTGTCCTGCAGGTGTCGCTGTTGAAGCATTTCAATCAGAATTTCAATAATGACTATAATATAATATAAATGATCCTGAGATTAGGTCTTTGTTCATTTCAAGCACTTACTCTTTTTATAGTTTGATTTCCCTCTTGCCTCTCAGAAATAGAGGAGGAGAATTGTGCTTGGTTTTGTTCAGATTCATTATTGAAAACATCTGTTTGCACATTTAGGTGCTGCCCAACATGGACAGAACACGGGCACCATGAAGTCCAAGCTGAAGTCAGGGGGCAGCAGACGGTTAAAGTCCTCGATTGCAGCATCCTGGAACTTTGCTCTCAGGCCACTATGGCTTAGAAGCTCTATTAACTCCATCTGAAGGTGTTGGGGGTGCACTGTTGATGTCGGTTGAGAAATGACTGGTAAAGATGGCAAAGCCTGAGTGCTGTGTTCTGAAGTCAAAGAAGCGCCGATCAAACTCATTAATTAACTGGCTTACTTTGGTTGCCAACTGAGTGCAGGAAAAAGCACCTGAGACTGACGCTGAGATGCTCTGACAAAGGGGAAAGTGGGCAAGATTGTCCTGTTCCACTTGGGACTTCCATAGCTGAAGTTTATGCTGGAAATCTGTGACCATGTCGGACATCTGCGTGATGACTTGTTTGCGTCCCTGCAGCCTCTGATTCAGTTGGCCGATATGTCACACAACATGACAAAATCACGAAGCCTGGTTAGATCTGACAGTTCAGGCAAGGGTTTTCCTTTACTTTGTATGAAAAGAGCGATTTGCTCCCTAAGCTCAAAAAATAATTTGAGGACTGCACTCCTGCTCAGCCACGGTACTTCTGTATGGTACGGGATGTCTCCATGCTCCTTGCCTACCTCCTGCAAAAGCAGCAGGAACTGGCGGTGGTTCAGGCCATGCGCCCGAGGTGACCGTGGTCATTATGTCATTCATTTCCAGAACCTCCAAGAGTTCCTCAGTGACAGATGAGTCCGCCTTCACACCTTGGATAAAAATGGACAGCTGCACTGTGTCCGTGTTTGTGATTTCATCAACAGCTAATGAAGAAACCTGATAAGTGCGTGTCTCTTCGGCCAGCTGTTTTGTCAGATTTCCGGCGAGTTCCTTAACTTGGTCTGCAATAGTGTTTCTTGACAAACTGACATTTTAAAAGTCTGTATCTGGTCGGGGCACACCTGCTCACACATCTTCAGCATGCACCGCTTCAAAAATGCACCTTCTGAAAAACACAACAAAGCTCGGGGATTTCTTCAGCCACAATTAAGCTAGCTTTCACTGCTGCATCATTTTTTGCTTTTGGCGTTGCAGGCCGAGCAAATGCTAAGCTAATGCTAACCTCTTTTATTTGGGTGATCAGATTGCATATGCTTTTACCGCAGCATGTAAAAATACAGAGTCACTCTGTTCTTCCTCTGTTCTGTGTTATACTACCACTACTACTGTACTCAGTACTGTGAAATATTCCCTCACAAGCATAAATATCACAGTCTCTGCCACATTAAACAGTACTGCATGCTGGTGAGTTCAAACTCATCCAAACAAACCTGTAAGCTTTAATTAGCTTAATTCTCTAAAAATAAAAAAAAACCTCAAATAAATAAAATATACCAATTTACCACAGTTGTCCACAAGGGATGTATGTCCTCTCAACGTGGTGGCGAGTCAGATTTGGGTGCCACTGTTGTACAATCCACAGACACACAGTCAAGGACGTACAGTACGTGTTTTATCACTGGGTTCAGTAATTTATTAATCTCTGGAATATAAAAGCTCTCTCTCTTTTATATTCCAAAGGTTACATTAAAAAGTTAATGTTAAACACATCAGAGACATCAGAGCAACCAGAGACACTGACATCAGGATTTCCATCTGCTCAATTCAGCAGAAATCTGACCATGAAGGTAAGTCTGTAACTAACTTTAAGTGTTTATCAGTAGTTTTAGTTTGTCAGCAGCTTCAGTAAGATTATTTAAAATATTGTGTGGTGACACAAGTTTGTCACAGTTTCTGTATGTAGCACCTTCCTCCAGGTCTTTATCCTCTCTGGCTGCCTAACGCTACCTTACATATGTTTGAATTAAATGTGAGTTTATGTTATCTCTGAATAGACATTTGTAGCAAATCCGTGGGATCAGTGGGTTTCTGCAGCACACAAACTCTTACGCCGGATAGTGGTATTATGCAATTTTTATTTACACCGTATCGTCACCACACACAACACGCAACCACACTCTCTTTCTGTCTCTGGATTTCACTCTTAGTGAAGTCTCCTGGCCCCAGGTCCAGCACACTACTGCAACATAAAGGTAGAGTGATTAGACAATGAGTAGCAGCTGAGGTAATCAACTCACCTGGTGCTGCTCTCACAAGCCTTCCCCACACCTCTCTCTCCTGCAGTGCAAACCACACCCACCTCCACATGATTATTTTCTATGAATCTTAGTCAGTCTCCTGTCCTCCAGAGCACTTTTCCAGTTGGTAAATCCTCATTTTGTAAAGACATTTTAAACTAATCTTTGGACTAGGGTATTACAGCCATCCAGTCTCTGTGTCTGAGAGAGACACCAGATCGGCTTAAATGTGCATGGAGCCTGGCTAAATATCCACATTGGGTATGGTTTCAACTAGTGTTGGAGTACTCGAGATCGGTCGATTGAGGTTCTTGGTCTTGTCTCGGAATCAAGGGCATTTTTTCTCGGTCTCGGACTGGGCGGACTCTGGTTTTTTTAACGAGACCGGTCAAGACCACCGCCAGTGGCGGACTGGCCACCGGGAGCACCGGGACATTTCCCGGTGGCCTGGCCACCGAACTGGCCCGCTCTGCAATTGTCAATTAGTGAACAGAAACATTTTTGTAGGGGAAAGAAACAGAAAAAGCTGTGTGTGTGCATGTGGAGCCTTTGCTCTATTATTTTACACTCTTACATCAGTAGGCACCAAACCTAACTCACTCTTGGTGTTTTGCGTTAATCCGGTGGTGGTGGCCTGGGATGGTATCAAATTCCCGGCCTGAATTATTGTCCCAGTCCGCCCCTGACTACCGCTGATAGGCTTTTTGTCCATTCCTTACTGATAAGAGTGAAAAAGGACCCTCTCAAAAACAGAGCAAAGATTGTTTTTGTTGTCACATTTATTTAAAAGCAAACTTAAATAAAAAGAAAACTCACATTTTGAGGTTTTGTTATGATTTTCCTTTGATATATATGGTCTTGGTCTTATCTCGGTCTCAACCTCCAAATGTCTTGGTCTTGACTCGGTCTCGGTACTCTCTGGTCTCGGTAATGTCTTGGTCTCAGTTGGTGCGGTCTTGACTACAACACTAGTTTCAACACAACGCTGGGTTCAAAGTCAGAAATGTTCAAACTGTAAACAGTGTTTTTATTTCATCAAAATGACAACATCTCCTCTGTTCCAGCTGCTATCAGTCCTCCTCCTCCTCCTGGCTCCAGTATTAACCAGCTGCATCCCTCTGGTCCTCCCAGTGGACTGCAGCGACATCTATAATAATGACAACAGCCAGTCCAGTGGAGTGTACACCATCTATCCCATCGGAGCCACGTCTGCTGTTCAGGTACCTCATCCTCTCTGGGACACAGGTCGACCTTTAGACGATAAAGCTCTTGCTTCCAGTTGGGCGTGCGGTGTAGTAATACTAGTACTGGTTGTAGTACATTGGATGTATATTTAGCCAAGTATCACATTTACTAATGAGTATGTCTGTGTGTAGGTGTACTGTGACATGGACTCAGAAGGAGGACGGTGGACGGTGAGTATTGACTTTTTACTGGTAAACAGATAGATAAGCTCCACCCCATCTTCCTGCTCCAAGAGAGCCCCATCCCTGTTAAAGAATTACTGTACTGTTAATAATCAAACAATTAATTCATAAGGAGTTACATGTATATATAAATATAGTCAATATAACAAAAAATGTCAATAAGACACAGAAAGGAAAATAATAATAGCAAAAGTATACAATAAATGATAAAAAAGCTATAATAATTAATAATAATTGAGTAATAGTGTGATATAAAAAAAAAAAAAACATACTATATATATATATATATATCTTTTTTCAGGTGAAATAGCAGTGGGGGAAAATTAAGTCTTTAAAGTCATGTGTGACTAAGATTCTTAAGTACTTCAATTTATATGTATGTATTTTAAGCAAATAAAAGGGGTGACAACGAGCAACCCTGCCAAGTGCCGCAACAAACTGGGAAATAGAAGAGATTGCTGTTTGTTCGGAGAGCTGCTAATGGAGAGGAATAGAGCACCCTTATCCACGAGACAAATCTTGAACCAAAGCCAAATGGTTTGAGAGTATAAAGAAGATAATCCCACTCGATCAAATGCCTTCTTGGCATCAAGTGATATTTATATTTCTGGAGGCTCGCGTGGAGTGGTATCATAAAGGATATTACCAAGCTCCTCTCCTGTGGAACCAGCTTCCAGTTGTGGTTCTGGAGGCAGACACCCTCACCACATTCAAGAGTAGGCTTAAGACATTCCTCTTTGATAAAGCTTATAGTTAGGGTTGGATCAGGTGAGTCCTGAACCATCCCTTAGTTATGCTGCTATAGGCCTAGACTATCGGGGGATTTCCCATGGTGCACTGAGCTCCTCCCTTCCTCTCTCTTTCTGCACTCATTCATGTTCCATTAATGCATGTTACTAACTTCACTTCTTCCCCGGAGTTCTTGTGCTTTCTCGTCTCGCAGGTTCTCATGGATCCTGGTGGAGCCTCCTGCCATGGTCCTGCTTGACTGCCATTGCCAATACTGTTGTTGCTGTGCACCTGTCTGTCTGTCTGTCTGTCTCTCTCTCTCTGCCTCTCTCTCTCTCTCTCTGTCTCTCTCTCTCTCTCTCTCTCTCTCTCTCTCACCCCAACTGGTCAAGACAGACGACCACCCACCTAGAGCCGGAGGATCTGTCCTAGGTTTCTGCCTTTTAACAGGCAGTTTTTCCTTGCCCTTGTCTCCAAGGTCTTGCTCATGGTGGTACTGTTGGGTCTCTGTAATTAATGTTATAAAGAGTTCGGTCTAGACCTGCTCTATTTGAAAAGTGTCCTGAGATAACTTCTGTTATGAATTGGCGCTATACAAATAAAATTGAATTGAATTGAATTGAATATTAGATAGATACAATTATTTTTAAGAAAGCCTGTTTGATCATCAGAAACAATTGAGGGTAAGACAGCTTCAAACTGGCAGGCTAACATTGACGGTGAGTATTTTAACTGAAATCAGCGTCATTGAGTCACAACCAAGTTACTTCCAGTTTGAACACTTCCTGTAGGACCTTCACAATAAATCACGTTAGTAAAACATGATTTACACCCCTCCAGGTGTTCCAGAGGAGGATGGACGGCTCAGTGAACTTCTACAGACCCTGGGACCAGTACAAGACGGGCTTCGGTAGCGCTGCTGGAGAGTACTGGCTCGGTGAGAAATGGAACCAAACTTACAGTTGTGTGACTTCCTGAAACTGTTTCTAGATGTTTCTGTGTGTGTGTTTGTTTTCAGGTCTTGAGAATCTCTTCCACCTGACTCTGAGGAAAAAGTACGAGCTGCTGGTTGACATGGAGGACTTTGAGGGAAATAAAGTGTTTGCTCGTTACTCCTCATTCTCCATTGACCCAGAGTCCCACGGATACAGATTGCAATTTACATTCATCAGTGCTGTTACGACCAGGTGACGTGCTACGGTAAGCGTACTGACTCATTCCCGGTTCACTTCCTGCTCTGTGTACACTGTTTGGTGCTGTAGCTCTGTCAGTGAACGCTAAATATACATTAGTTTTACTCATTACAGCGGTTATTTTCCCGCTTAACATTTAAACGTAGACTAGTTCTACCTAAACACTCGGAGTTTCTCCTTCTTTTAGCGACTTTTCACTACTTTCAAAGTTTTTTCATACACGCTAGTTTCATTAGCATTAGCAGTTAGCTATGGCTTCTCCCTCTCCCTCTCCTCTGTCCTGCTCAGTGTGTCAGATGTTCAGTTATTCCTCCTTTAATGATAATGGTACCTGTATTAAGTGTAGTTTATTTACTGCGCTGGAGGCGAGGCTTAGTGAGTTAGAGGAACGGCACCGCACCACGGAGATATCTTTAGCCGCTATAGTTAGCCAGCCCCCGGTAGTCGGTGTGGTCCGACCAAAGGTAGCTTCTGTTAGCTCTGTAGATCCTCCGGTAGATCCTCCGGTAGTTCCTCCCGTAGTTCCCCCGGTAGTTCCCGAGCAGCCGGGAAGACAGGGAGGCTGGGTGACTGAGCGAAGGAAGACTAAAACACTGAAGCCCACAGTTCACCACCAACCCATTCATGTTTCTAATACATTTTCCCCACTCAGCGATACACCCGCTGAGGAACCAACTCTGGTTATTGGCAGCTCCATAGTCAGAAACGTGAAGTTAGCGAAGCCAGCGGCCATAGTTAATGTATCCCTGGGGCCAGAGCGGGCGACATTGAATCAAATTTAAAACTGCTGGCTAAAGATAAACGTAAATACTGTAAGATTGTTATCCACGTCGGCGGTAATGACACCCGTTTACGCCAATCGGAGGTCACTAAGATTAATGTGGAGTCGGTGTGTAATTATGGTAAGACAATGTCGGACTCCGTAGTTTTCTCTGGACCCCTCCCCAATGTGACCAGTGATGACATGTATAGCCGCATGTCGTCATTCCACCACTGGCTGTTGAGGTGGTGTCAAGCAAACGATGTGGGCTTCATTGATAACTGGAAGCCTTTTTGGGGAAAACCTGGTCTGATTAGGAGAGACGGCATATTAATACTCACATTCCTCGAGGCACAGGCCGAGGAGGTGGAGTGGCAGCCATATATGATTCGAGCGTTTTAATGGACCCTAAACCTAAACTAAATTGTAATTAATTTGAAAGCCTTGTTCTTAGTCTTTCTCATCCGACCTGGAAAACACTGCAGCCAGTTCTATTTGTTATAGTGTACCGCGCTCCTGGACCGTACTCTGATTTTATATCTGAATTCTCAGAGTTTCTATCAAGTTTAGTCCTTAAATCAGATAAAGTAATTATTGTAGGTGATTTTAATATTCATGTGGATGTTGACAATGACAGCCTTAGTAACGCATTTATATCATTAATAGACTCAATTGGCTTCTGTCAGAGTGTAAATAAACCAACTCATTGTTTTAATCACACTCTTGACCTTGTTTTATCATATGGCATTGATATTGAACATTTAATAGTCTTTGCCATGGCTCTGCTCTCTTCCTGCTCCCTTTGCTCCTCCTCCTTCCCTGTGTGTGTGTCTAATGAGGGTGTGGCCTCCATTCACCTCACCTGTGTGCTGTCTCACCTGCTCTCAATCAGTTAATCAGTCTCAGCCCTCAAGAACCCCGGTCTTCCTTGCATTCCTCACCAGATCGTTGGGCCAACGTGGTGGAACTTTCCTGGTTCCTTCCAGTGTCCTGCTTGCTACTTCCAATCTCCTTGTGATTTTCCGTTGGACCCCCATCTCTCCAGCGTTCCAGGGATCCTTCTCGTGCAGTTCAGGTTCCAGGGTCAGCTCTCCAGTGCCTCCATGTCTTCTGCCCGTTCATGCCGAGGCCGCCCCTCATTTCCCCCAGTGTGTGTTAAATAAAGCCTCTTTAAACCCTCATCCTGTCTGTGTGTCTGCTCCTGAGTCCAGCATAATACTAGACCGTCAGTCTTCCCACATAATCCTTTCCTATCTGACCATTATTTAATAACTTTTGAATTCATATTACTAGATTATAAGCCATTAGGCAAAACTTCCTACAGCAGATGTCTATCTGACAGTGCTGTAGCTAAATTTAAGGAGGAGATTCCTTCAGTGTTTAATTCAATGCCATGTCTGAATTTAACAGAGTCCTATAATAACTTTAATTGACGTAGTGCACCCTGCATTTTGTGACCACCTACTTATGCACCTTAGGCCTTTCAAGCACTGGATTTGACCATGCACCGTAGGACTCTTACCCAATGCTTGTTATTTAGCTATTTATTTTATGTTATTGGTTCTTTTGCATTTTGCCTCCTGTTGTTGTAGTGGTTGTTGTTGTTGTTGTTGTTGTTGTTATTGTTATTATTATCAGTCTGTGGAAACTGTGAATTTCCCCTTGGGGATGAATAAAGTAACTATCTAATCTAAACTAATCTAATGATATTTGGAATTGGACGCTTGAGGGAATCAGCTGAGCTGTCAGCTGATGTGTGTTTATGACTAGCTGTGATCAGCTGATGTAGCTGGAATTGAGAGCTGAGCTTGACTTCGAGGCCTGCCTGAACTAAAGCTGTGCATAATTATATAAAGCAGTTTAAATGGTTCATATTGTTGAGTGTATATTCAGTGATAATTGACATTAGCATGGCTATTATTAACAGTATTGATACCTGTAATAACACTAAGTATTAATATGAATATTTTTGCCCCTGAAGAAGGTGGAGTTGTAGTTTGTTACTGTGACCACCAGAGGGCAGTGATTCATGATGTGTAAATTCATGTTTGTAAAAGAGGGAAACAGAGGACATCCAGACAAAGACACAGGAGACAAAGTGAAGACATCAGATCACATCAGCTTTCTGCTCAGCTTATTATTTATTGTCAGCATCCAGCAGATAATGATTCACATTAGGGTTTCAAACCTCCACCAACGTCCCTGTTGTTTTCTGATGAGTTTTATGTTTTCCTTTGCTATAAGTTGTGTAAACAGATAATGAAATCTAAGAAAAAAAGTTGAGTTTTAGATAAGGACCCCTCTTTAGAACCGGTGCCCAGTGAATCGATTCCTTGGAACCGTTAGCGTGCCTGCTTAACGATTCCGCTTATTAATGTTATAAAGAATTCGGTCTAGATCTGCTCTATTTGAAAAGTGTCCTGAGATAACTTCTGTTAATTGAATTGACTTGAATTGAATCGGTTCCACTCATTGCAAATGATGCACGCGCTGCGATGTTTTGGTTCAGAATGCAGCGAACATGGCATCGAGGCAGAACCACTCTAAAGTTTGGTTATATTTCACGTGAAAAGACAACAATACGGTCACTTGCAACACTTGTAAAGTTTCCATTTCATCAAAGGGGGAACTACCTCCAATATGCAGAAACATTTGGCCACACAGCATCAATTCATTTGTAGGACTGTCACGTGTTTGATACACTATTACCTAGCAACACAAGTGAGTCAAGCCGCAGCGAAGCTAACGGGACGCCATCTGTTATCAATGCCGAAGGTACCTTTAAATGACATGATAATTTTTCTGCACAAAAATTATTATACTTATTGGCTAAAAATGTGTGTCAAAATAAGTAATTTCATTGGTTATATTTCCTTGTCCTGACCTATCAACACATGGCTAATTTTAATATTCAAATGAGCCATGTGTTGATTTGCCACAACATGCACTCATGCCAGTTGCTAAGTTACCACCAGGCTGTCAATCAAGCTCTCAGCTACAGAGGACATAAGGTTACCCTTTATCTATCCAGATAAAAACATTAAGAACAGTTTCTGTATGATGTTTATTAGACCTATGTAATCTGAAGGGCACGTTGTCATGAGCTGTATCTTGTATATTTATTATTAGCTATGTGGTATGTGTATGCACCTTTATGTAATCTGGTGGAAAAACATTCAAATTTAAAACCGGATCATACCAAACAAATATCTGCTTGTGTGTCCCAGTGTATGCTAAGTGTCCTCCTTTTTGATGTGAAGGAAATGGCCACCCTATTACAGTCTGTGTTTTTAGTTTTTATGGCACATAATGGCAGTTGGGCTTAAAAAGCCAAACATTTATTTTTTTGTCTGAACCAATTCATGTGAAAATTAACAATTTCCTTATCCTAAGGCACTCTTGATAATCTTTCAAGGCACACTCTAGCGTGCCATTGCATACTGGTTGAGAAACACTGCCCTAGGCTATGGGTCCCTGGACTTTACTTTGAGAAGTAGCTCACCTACTTTTAGGTTTGTTCTGAGGTTGCTACACATAATTTGACTATACTCTGTGCTGTGTCTTCTGATCAGATATTAAAGCGAGTTAATACAAACAAACAAATTTGTACTTATTCCCTCACCCAATGAAAATCGCTTAGAGAATCGATAAGGAATCTGATCAATAAGCAATATCAATAATGGAATTGGAATTGGAATCGTTAAATTCTTATCAATTCCCATCCCTAGTTTTAGAGATATGTGGTTTTCACAAGACAGTGATGCTACAAACCTATGATGATCCTAGAATATGATTAAGGATTTCCACAGTGTGGTATTAGTACTTTTACTGAGAACATTATATCGGGCTGATTACATCCAAGCTCTTTGACTTTGAACTCCTCTTGTAATACTATTTTCTGTTGCAAAATGCTGCTCCAGCTCTATCCTCAACAACTCATTCAGGGACATTCGATGTACAACAAGCCACTCGCTCTCTGCTGCCACCCATTGTTTGGTGGTCATATCAGCAGCATTCAGATAAATGGTCAGTGCTGTAGATACAGGTCAGAGGTCTGTACTGTCTGTTTGATTCATATAATAGAAACAATAATGATATTATTAATATTAACTAATTAACTAATTTCATGAGTCCAATAATTTTACACTAATGGTGCTCCAGAGACTGTTAAAGATTTGAGTCTATCTGACAATAATACTAAGTGACAGAGGACAGGATAGATACAAGGCAGAGGTCAGTGCAGTAGATACTATTGTCAGTTGGTGGTGTGTACATCAGCACGATTCAGATAAAGTAGTAGCATATGCCCCAAAAAGCTCCCATCTCTCATATTAAGAAGAGTGAACTGCGCATGTAAAACTTTGATGGGTTTTTTCAGACCGGAAATATGTTAACTTTAGACAATGTACAACATTTCTAATCTACATTTTATTGCAGATTATAAATTTTTACCCACTAACTATATATCTACCAAGCTCTTTGAAAAAGAATCAAAGTAATTAAGTCTTATTCAATGTAGGATGTGGAAAGTGCTGGGGAAGTGCCCTCTCGCCCTCTATTGGCCAGCCGACATTGTATCTAAAGATGATGTGAGATTATGTACGAGAGAGAGAAAAGAGAAGAATCATCAGTTGATATTCTGCTGGTCCTGAATATTTAATGCACAGGACGGATCTTCATGCTGATGGATTTCAGGGAGTAGTCATGACCCTTCCATTTAGCCCACTCCACTCCAATAGCATAGTGAGTCTTGTCAGCCCCCCAGTAATAAACCCCGTTGGGGTTGGCAAAGTGACAAGCATTGTACCAGAAGGCACCCAGGAATTTTTTGGCGCAGTTGGCCGACCACTTGTCCTGGTCTTTGTCGAAGGTGGAGAAGTTCTGTCCATTGTGATAAGTCAGGGAGTCTTCTACAGAAACACAAGAATCACAGTGTTACACATTAATGATACTGAAACTACAAACACTACAAGGAATAGGCCAGGCTATAGAAAGAGTGGATGCATATATCGGCAATAATAACCAATATCTTGGCACCACGATGGACCACAAACTCACATTCAAACTGAACAGTTAAATCATCTTCTCCAACACCTCTTCTTTCTGAGGAAACTCCACAAAACTGTCTTATTAGCTATTTATAGGTGCTTCATTAAATGCATCATCACCTTCAACATAATAGCCTGGTTTGGTGCACTGAGTAACATTCATCTCAACCTTCTGAACGAAGTCATCAGAATGATCAGCAAAATCATTGGTCTGGACCTGGAACCATTATGCAACATCTACAGCAGACGGGCTAAAATGAAAGGACTGCAAGTAGCCTCGGACTCCACAAACATGCTATATACCCAATGCAGCCACTAACCTTCAGGCCACAGATACAGATGATAACCATCTAGGACTAAGTGGGCCATGTTGAGCTTTGTGCCAACCTCCATCATAAATGATGGACTCATAAATGCCTAAGCTGGTAGGGGATGTTCACCCAATTTATTATTTATTTACGGACATTACTAGGCACACATAGCCTTACTGGTGGTAAAATATTTTGAAATATTTACTGGTGGTATTTTGAATAGAATTTTTTTTTTTTTTTATATTTGAAATTGCACTTTTTTATCGTCTGTCTGGTTATGCGATGTGTTTGCATTGATGCTATGCTTGAATTTGAAATTTTGAATTTGAAGAAAGGGGGTTGTGGGTTTCAGGAAATAGAAAGAATATACAGAACACAGGTGAGCTGAGCTGTCCACCTGCTCAGAACAGACACAATCATTCTTGGCATCAAGATACCAAACCAGCCACTGGACGCGGTGTCACTGTTTTACTGAAATCTGAAGGATTGCCACTTTAAATCTGATCTAAATCTGATCTTTCCACTGTGTTTCTCTCTGGTCCAGCACTAATGCTCACCTGCCCCTCCATTGGTGAATCCAGATACATGCAGTTGATATCCGTCACACTCGGCATCGACGGAGAACGAGGAGTAACGAGCGAACACTTTTTTTCCGTCAAAGTCCTCCATGTTGACCAGCAGCTCATAATTTCGCTGGCGTGTCAGTTGGTGGATGTTCTCAAGACCTGCGCGCGCACACACACACACAAACACACACAAACACACACACAACACACACACACACACACACACACACACACACACACACATTTTGTATGTAATTCAGAAAAACATTCTTTCACATTAAAGGTAAAGGAAGCAATTCTGGAAGAAGATAACTGGTTGTTGAGCCTGAATATATGGTGACCTGGGAATGAGACCTGACAATCAACTATCTCACTGACCTGTGAAAGGCAGAAGTCTCCTGTCACAGGCTAGATTTTTGAATGTCATTGACGGCAAAAACAAACTGCGTACCTCAGCTTTAAAGGTTCATGGGTGACTCTATATGCAGTCTTACCAATGGCTGCACAATATTCCACTCATGGTGAACACTGATATATATAAGATATTTAGATATATTTTGGCGTATTACTGAAACATTTTGCCGTGCAATGCACCAGAAAAAAGGGAAAGAAGAAGACTGTTTGCTAGTAAACATGGATGTAAACAGTGCAACATCTATGCAAAGATTTTTTTGCAAATGTTTTATGAGGAAGGAAATTATGGTTGTTAGAGCTCAAATATTCACACAGTAAAGTCTTGTGAGAAACACTAAATATAAACAGAACCTTGATTGTTTACAAGAAGACAAAGAAGAAAAGAAAACCAGTCAACTAATATCAAGTTCATGTCTACGTGATCTTAGTCTTGATTTTCCACCAACAGATAAATACCAACAAATGCCCCGAGATCAGAAAGCTCGCCAAGAGGAGACGCTAGAAAAATACATCAGGCTAAGTATGTAGTTGAGTCGAGAGCCATGCAGTGTTTAATTAGCAGCTAATTGTACTTATTTTCTAACTGTAATATGCTGTAAATGGTTGCCCTTTGTTTTGAAACTACTTTCCTAAATATACATGCTGTGCTTGTTATAATGGTGTCATCAATGCGTCCTGATGAAACGTAGTTTGGAGACCAGACAGACTCTGGAATTACTCCTTGTGAAAGATCCTGGAGTGTGTGCCCCCCTAATCAGTCACAATGATTTCAAGACCCCAGATTACAGACAGGAAGTTGTGTAGAGTGAACAAGACTTTACCAACCAGCAGACTGGAGACACATGATTAGTGAAGAATCTCATTTTTGGATTTATTCTACCGAGTTTAATGTTTGTACTTTCTGAACAGTTTGTTCCATTTCTCACCCAGCCAGTACTCTCCAGCAGCGCTACCAAAGCCTATCCTGTACTGACTCCAGGGTCTGTAGAAGTTCACTGAGCCGTCCATCCTCCTCTGGAACACCTGAGGGGGAATGGGATGAAGTTAACTGTTTAAACACAGCACAGTCTGATCTAATGCAGTTTGCAGACTAACTTTAACAACCCTTGCAAGCCACTGTGTCTGCCGGACTTTTGCTCGTACCTTAAGTACCCTGACAATGGAGTATCATTCCATGTGCATATGGAATATACACAGATTGAAGAGAACCTCAAAGAACATCCAGAGAACATTCAGATTGCAATCTAACCAGATGTTAAAACTTTAAAGCACTTGGCTCTGAGTTTAAGTTGACTTCAGTGAGAACTCACCGTCCACCGTCCTCCTTCTGACTCCATGTCACAGTACACCTACACACAGACACACATTCATTAGTGAAACAAATACTTCACACAGTACATTCAAACATGCTATAGCAGGTACTATGGTGCTACAACTACTTGTATCTGTTGTATCAGAAGCACCAGTGAGAACTTGTAACTGTGTCTTTATATGTTGACTCATCTTTAAACCAACATCTTGAGGTGAGTTGTACCTGGACAGCAGATGTGGATCCGATGGGATAGATGGTGTACACTCCACTGGGTTGTTTCTTGTCTTGTTGATAGATGTCACTGCAGTCCGCTGGTAGGATGATCTTAATGCAGCTGGTCAACAGTGGAGCCAGAAGGAGGAGGATGAATACCAGCTGGAACAAAGGAATCATTTTTGAGTTGGAGTAATTTTACCTTCAATTCAATCTAATTTAGTTTTGTGATGTTGGCTGTTGGTCAAGGAGAGTAGGAATGCACACTGGCCCAAAAACTCCTTTCAAATCAAATTATTTATTCAATTCTCATGTGTCATAAGTTTAAATGATATTCTATAGATCCCTGCAGATAAATATATTCTCTGCATTTGAGCCATTCTAAGAATTAGGAGCATTGGGACTCTGGGACCAACTCTAAATCTGAGCCAGTGTTGTGGTCAAGGGTACTGACTGGAAAATAAACCTAATATAGAAATACATCATCAACATATCAGACAACCTCAGGTAACCAGTTAGCATACAGAGCAAACACACATATTTAAAGTAAAGCTATTGTGCTAATTTCCAGCTTCATATTCTCCACTTTGCATGATTTACTCTTCCAACAACAGTCGCTGTACTTTGTGGGCATGCTCAGTCGTGCTCTGCCTGGAGCAGATAACCATATAAAGAAATCTGTGACGAGCCAGTTTGGATAGTCACATAAACAAGAAAAAGAGGTTGGAAACATTCAGAGCAGTCTCCATTCTGAGCTTTCTGCTCAAAGGGAATACCTTTACACACATTTACCTCATTATTGACACTTTAATATCACCATCCCACACTGGAACAATATATATATATATATATATATGACAGAAATAAAGGAAACGCTGAATAGGTCCCCTTTAAAAGACAGAAAGTTGTATGAAGTTACAAATTTACCTTCATTGTCAGAGTTCTGCTAAAGTGCGTTGTTGAAAATCCTGAGGTCAGTCTGTCTGGATCTCTGATGAGCTGGATTGATTAAAATTATTTCAAACTTTAGTGTTCAATACTTTGTTTTAGTGCAGCACAGATTAAATAAAAGACAGTTCTCCATCGTCACTATAATCACAACAAACAACAATGGAGTCATGGGAGCGCCATAAAAAAGAATACATGGATGTAAACAATGACAAATAACACATAAAAGAATAAAGAATTTTCTCTCATTTTGTTAATTATTCATTTTTTACAATTTCATTTGTTTCTTATTATTTTTCCTTACTCTCTTTCCAATTGCTTTTGCTATTCCTTGAAGGGCCGAGCTGTCAGTCAGCTGTCTTGAGTAAAGGTGTCGGAACAAGTTGATTTTTAATGAAGTATACAAAAAATTGCAACTAATTTTACGTCAAAAAATTCCTAAAAACATCTCAACATGCATCTCATGTGTTTTTGTTTTTGAAAAGCTGCTGTGAAATCAGGCAACAACAGCAGTAGCCCCCAAAAGCCAGTAAAATCCAGATTTAATTATAAATCATAATGATAATATCTGTGTCTGTAATTTAGGACTGAGGACATTCGTTTAAAGCTCTAAACCTTCATCTCTTTGTCGGTGTCTCCTGGTTGAATGCTAACCTGTCTGAACTCACCCGCAGGTTGAACTAAGGAGGCTTCACCTTCAGAGAACAGAGACAAACTGTCTGCGTCTTCTTCAGTCTGTCTCCGTCGTGTTAACATCTGCCTAAACTGGTCAAACCTTAAATACTAAAGGAGCAGGTGACGTGGACTTTTGTATCAGATTACTGTTTAAAACAGGAAATGTTTTGTTGTTACCATAGTGAGATAATCAATATGTCACCCAGGGGAGGAAAACCAAAATACTCTAAACTCCAACATGTCTGCCCTGTATCAAACTACACCACCCGACACAGTACACCCTGCATTTTGTGGCCACTTACTTATGCAAATTAGGTCTTTCAAGCATTGTGTTGGACCATGCACCTTAGGACACTCACCCAATGCTCGTTATTTTGCTATTGATTTTATTTTATTATATTTTAGTGGTTCTTTTGCATTTTGCCTCCTGTTGTTGTTGTTGTTATTATTATTGTAATTAATATCAGTCTGTGGATACTGCTGGAAACTGAAAATTTCCCCTTGGGGATGAATAAAGTATTTATCTATCTATCTATCTATCTGTCTATCTATCTAGTTCTGCAGAAGCACTGTGAGTCATGTACACCATCCACTAATATATTCTACTATACGTATTGTCATTCTCTGTGCTCCACTTTATAATGTTATATAATTACATCACTACTGATTACATGCTATATTATACTGCACTATTATGACACTATTATGGTATACACTGTATGTAGTATATGTAATCTAATGTTTATTAGATTAGATTAGATTCAACTTCATTGTCATTGCACAAGTACAGGTACTAGGCAACGAAATGCAGTTAGCATCTAACCAGAAATGCAAAGCAGTAAAGTGCAGAGTAATGTACATATGTACAAAAATATGTAAAAAATATAAATAATAACATTATAGATATATATGAATATACACTTATTGCATCATGTATTACGTCATACTGTATATTGAAGCACCTTCTTTCAAATTGCTAAAGTGCTAAATTGAGCACATTTGCCTTTTCTACTTTGTTACACTGACCTGAGACTGCCCACGTCTCAACCCTACGTTATCACTGATCGAAAAGAAGGAATGAGTTTTACTTCCCTCTTGGGGAAAACCCTGTGCAGCAACATTCCTTCATACTTTCCATTTTTTGTTCTGATCACAGCCCTCACACTGCTCCCATGTAAAGAATCTGTTTTATATCTGCGCTTTGATTTCCTTTATGTGGCCTAGCAATATCTGAGCACATGGTAGCTAAGGTTAGCAAGGTAATTAACATAATGCTAGTTTGTAGAAATACAACACTTGAGTCTAGCAAACTCTGCTGAAAGCAGCTTTATTGGAGTGAAGAGAATCACCACACAGTTCAGTTTTATGGCATTTAAGTGTTAGTTCATCTGAAATCACAACCCCCTCTCCCTCCCGGGGATGAAGTGAATGTGGCGTGCTCAAGGTTTGTTCGGACTGGACTGTGGTGGGGTAAGACAGCTGTTAACTGTAGCTTGCTGGTTTAGGACAGTTTTGTCAGCAGTTATAGTGAAGAGCAGTCCTTTTTAAGTTAACAGCAGTGTTGTGTGTTTTGTGATTCATTTTCTATGCGATGCTTAGAGGTAACAAGTTCTGTTCTTGTTGATGGAATAACTAATGGTATTTTTTCTGACGACCTTGTCCTGTAAGCACATTTGAAATGTAGAGGGGTAATTTACCCATTAGAGCTTTAGCAATGAAAATCAATGAATGGAATTTCCTTCTGAGGGAGAGGGAGGACCATTGTACAGTTTCATACAGAATGCAGGGGTGTGGTGCATCCAGCAAGGAAAAGGTTGGTGCAGAGCACATTCTTATCAGTGTTGGATTATGGTGACCTAATTTATATGCACTCTTCTTCATCTTTATTAAAAACACTAGATGTATTATACCACTCAGCCTTGCGTTTCATTATAGGTGCAGCAGCCAGGACTCACCACTGCATTCTGTATGAAACTGTACAATGGTCCTCCCTCTCCCTCAGAAGGAAGCTTGCTAACCTTAGCTACCATGTGCTCAGATATTGCTAGGCCACATAAAGGAAATCAAAGCGCAGATATAAAACAGATTCTTTACATGGGAGCAGTGTGAGGGCTGTGATCAGAACAAACAATGGAAAGTATGAAGGAATGTTGCTGCACAGGGTTTTCCCCAAGAGGGAAGTAAAACTCATTCCTTCTTTTCGATCAGTGATAACGTAGGGTTGAGCTGTGGGCAGTCTCAGGTCAGTGTAACAAAGTAGAAAAGGCAAATGTGCTCAATTTAGCACTTTAGCAATTTGAAAAAAGGTGCTTCAATATACAGTATGACGTAATACATGATGCAATAAGTGTATATTCATATATATCTATAATGTTATTATTTATATTAGCCTCATAGCATAATTGCCTAAGTCATATTTCAATGTTTTTGGAAAACAAGAAAAAACTAAATTTTTAGAAAACATTTTGATATTTTTTATTGATATTGTAACAGTACATTCAACCAGATGTGTGAACAAGTATGCAAAAAGAAAAAGACCCATCATCAATTAACTAACAAATAAAAGTGACTTAGGCAGAATATGCCATGACATAGGCATTTTTTCTCATACATATAAATGCAAACATCACATAACCAAAGTGCTTTTATTCTCCTAAATATAACCAATATGTGTAACTTGTCAACCTTAACCAAGTTGTTTCTTAATGTCTAACCTTAACCACTGTTTTCCTTTCCCACCATTAATCGAAGTTCCACTCAGGTGCTGTGCAAACTCATTTTCACACTGTCTATTGATGAGGGAGGTTGTCATAGTACTGGTGGGCCACTCTTGGTAGTACTGGTTTCATTGCCTGCAAGTCATTGAATTTCCTGAGAGTGATTGGCAATTGGGCAGGAAAGAGTGGGACCCAGTGGAATGGTTCCTCGGGGATGCTGATTCGCAGAGGCAGGTCCTCCCAGTCAGACTCAAAATCCAACTTGTACCGGATTCGACCATCAGCCAAGTACTGGAGTGCCCGGAGGTCATGGACTGTGGGGTCACCAACGTTTTTACCTGGTCGAATCTTGGTGACATAGGCCCCCGATAACTTCATGAAGTCATTGTGGTATAGCTGAGTCACCTTGTATGGCGATGGATGGATTCGTGCAGTCTCAAAGATGACAATGTAATCACGTGGAGTGTGAATATCTTTGATGATGTGCCGTTCAATGAGGCTATGCATGGAGTCACACTCCATTTGTGTGTGCCCTGCAACCAGAAACTTTTGTTCAATGGTGACACCATGCTTCATGGCCAGATGAAGGTAGTTGTTGCTGATGGTACCACACCGATTCTGATATCCACAGCCATCACTCCAGACAATGACTTTCTCGATGTTTCCGTTGGCCTCTAGGATTGATTCAAAGTGTTTTGACTGCAGATGGGCAAAAACCTCACTGCTGAAGGAGCCTTCATGCTCCTCCCAAGTGTAACAATACCCATCTTTGTTACTCAGGTTGAAGCAAGTAAAGTTGTGCATCTGTAATTTAGTTTTATAATACATTGTACTTGCTTTTGTCTGGGGGCACAGAAGAACGCATTGAAGGTCCATTGTCCACACTGAAAGTTTGTCACTGGATTCCTCTTTATCCTTAGCTTTTTCAGCTTGAGCCTGAGCCTTTAATTTCAAGTGAGTAGTAAGGGTATCCTGATCTGTATTTCCTACCTTGGCGCTGACACATACATCACACTGGTCCTTTTTTGGTATGAACACAGAGTATTACTGCTCACTAAACACTTTTCGAAAATATGTCTCACTCACAGCACGCATTCCATTTTCACCAGCAGCTTTCTGATATTCCTTGTGAAGATCACTTAGAACTGTTCCCGACTCCAGGAACTTCTTATCCTGATAGGAGGGAACCTGACGGCAGTAATGGGATGGGACAGTAGGCAGTCCAGACAGCCATTCTTTCAGGAAGGTCTGGTCAACATCTGATATGGGCACATGTGGACCAGTCTTGTTGATCTTGGGTTGACCTGGATCAGTTTTGGTGACCATGATCCGATGGTTTTGGGGGCGATGCCAAGTGTTGAACAGAAAAGATTCTTACACACAGGTAGTTTACATCTATCCGCCAGTTGCAGGTGGTATGATAGGGACGTTGTTCTCCTTGATGCAACACCACCTTTCTTCTGTTTTATAGGCACATTTTCGACTAAAGTCTGGATATACAGCTTGCGTGTCTCCCAGGAGGGCATGGACCAGAAATTGTTGAAGATATCTGTTCTCTCCTCTTCAGTCAGTAGTTCACAACTTCGTTTCTTCGACCTTAAGCAGTGCTGTGATGTGCAGGGTGGGCCCATGGTCTTTGGTGGTCTCTCCTGTCCCATTTTATTCTTGTAACTCTCCCCCTTAAGACGCTTCTCTTTTATCACCTCTCGCTTCCACATATGTGGTGTTGGGCGCCTATGACGTTGAACAGCAGAAGTTTCAAGTGCAGCTCCTGTTTCTCCTTCACTGTGTTGAGCTGTGTCTGTATCATTACCATTATCTGGGCAGTAATCTTTCTCAGGTCTATAGTCCTTATCCAAGACAGTGTCATCTGGTTCACTTGCTGACGATGAATCAGGATCTGATTCAGCTCTGGAGGCTTTACTGGCTGTTTCCTCTTCAATCTCTTGCCCCATGTCTACGTCATTTCCTTCTTTCTCAGGTCTATTCTCATCTACATCCTCTAAATGAATGGGTTCATTTCCTGACAGTAGAGCAAAAAATTTATTTTAACACAGTAAACCATGTTAAATTCATAGGTTCACTGCAAAAAATCTAAAACTGGCCAAATACTTTTTATGCGTAGTCAAAATGTCTCATTTCTAAAACAAATCTATTTGCACTTAAAATAAAAAGCGCAAATGCTTGAAAAATGACTTTACTTGAAAATTTGCTTAAAAATGTCTAAAATTGCCTAAATGTCTTTTTATGGTGATGTTTCTTAAGTGTAAAGATTTGTTCTGACCAGAAATAAGGTAATATTTTGCTAGTGTTAGCTAGCTACTTCATCATACCTTGTAGAAAAAATGTGATTTAAAGTTTAAATACAAAGTTCATAATC